AGAACAGCACCGGCACGCCCAATACTGTTCTTGATCTGATTCTTCAGGTATAGCCCATCATGACCACGGGTTACATCGAGGCGTGTCAGTCTCTTTTCTGGTGTCAGAGTTTTGACCCAGGCCTATACGCTTGGACCTGGAGTGGTTGGCGGCGGTATGGGTCCCCGTCAGATGAGATGAAAACCACGTCCTTGGGGTCGGACGAGACAGAGCCCGCATCCAAGGGGTCTGGCGAGACGGAGCCCGCGGCCTCGGGCGAGACGAAAACTCGTCCTTGGGGTCGGGACAAGACGGAGCCCGCGGCCTCGAGGTCGGGCGCGACGGAGCCCGTGGCCTTGGGGTCGGGTAAGACCTTTTAATATGTCTTGCTCGATCTGGGAAAGTCAGCGTGGGCGTTAACTTCCTTGCTTTTGGTATCCCTACTATCAATAACCGACACTATATTTTAGAAAACATGAAAAATAAAATATTCCTTTAACAACTCATATACAAAATATTATTTGAAGCTACATTAAAATCCACAACAATAATTTATGTAATACTTTAGATCGAAGATTTAAATTTTTTACTAAAATATTATGACATATCTACATTAATATTATAATTGTAAGCACTATTTTTTTAAGAAAAGAAACACTACTAGACATAATTATTTGTTGGAGGAAATTCAACACCTTAAGTAGTTAGGAGTGATTAGTGCAAACCTAAGATAATCCTTTTAGAGTAAATAGTACTCCCTCCGTCCAAGAAAACATGCAATTCTAGTACCATGTCATGTTTTAGTATCTTAAGTTTAACCAATTATAGATAAAAAATATCAATATTTATGATATCAAATAAATGTCATTAGATTAATTACGAAATGTATTTTAGTAGTAAATTGATTTGGAGCTATAAATATGAATATTATTTATTAGAAATTTAGTCAAACGTGAACTACTTTTTCTGGAACATAACCCATAGTTGTATGTTTTTCTGGACGGATGGAGTAGTTGTTAGGGTTAAATATTAAAATTGTTTTGAGACTGAGGGGTACACGTCGATGGACTAGTGCAAGTAGGCATGCAGCAAGATTGCAATAATACCTAGCAGCAGGCGGCCAGGCGCATGTCAATTTGGCCATCAAGGTCTTGTTTAGATCGCAAGTTTTTTCATTTTTTTTATATCATATCAAATCTTTGGACATATGTATGGAGTATTAAATGTAGATAAAAAAATAACTAATTACATAGTTTGATTGTAAATTACGAGATGAATCTTTTGAGCCTAGTTAGGCTATGATTGGATAATAATTATCAAATATAAACGAAAGTGCTACAATACTAAATACTGATTTCTAACCCCAATCTAAACAAGCCTCGAGGGAACACCCCTATCCATGAAATGGATGCGTGCATGCAATTGTCTGCGTCAATCATCAATAGAGAAAGAAGAGGGTGGGAGGACTGGAGAGCGAGCAGGGAGAGGGGATCGGAAGAAATTGCGTGTGCGGCGTGGAGGAAGGAACGAATTGAAGTAAAATCTTTTCAGGGTACAGGAGGAGGACGATCGACGAGCTGAGGGAGGTTGGGACGTCCATCGGCCCTGCGTGCTGGCATGGCATGCAGCTGATGCTGGCCCGTGCCCAACCCGATGGATCGATGGACGCGCCTGCTGTGATATATCGACCGACCGACTGAAGTGACCTCTCTTGGAAAGCCTTGATAGAACCACCACCGTTTACCCTCTTCACTGTGGCTTCCTACCTCTACCTGCCTAGTACTGCTTTTGTTTCCTAGCTTGCCTGGCCCAGCCCTCCACGGATCGATATCCGAGCCCAGCTCCTCGGATCGATCCTCCCGTTTTTTACCATTTCGAAACTACAGCACGTACGTGGTGCTCCCTCCGTCTTATACATTAATTGGGAGTATACACACTACCAGTCTACCACTGGAGAGTGGAGAGAGTACTCCAGTATTACCGCTGTGGCGGATCCATGAAAAAATTTAGTGGGGGCTGAACAAAAGTGAGATAGCAACATACCTCCGACTACTGTTTGATCTTAAATCTCAGCCCTACCTACACGATAGAACTTTGTGTGAAAATTCATGGGAGCAGCAGGAGGCTCCGAGGCTCCGGTATCCGTATATCGGTAGGGGGGCTCGAACCCCGGTTGAATCCGCTGCTGTTACCACCGAACCCGACCAGTCTGGCTCTCTTGTATTTGCTTTTATATAGCTTGACTTGATCATCTCTGGGTAGTCGTAGTGTACTTCAGTTTTGGCTCTAACACACGCACTGCAAATTTCCAGTACAGACGTTAAGGCTATGTTTAGTTAGAGGGAAAGTTGGAATTTTGGGGTACTGTAGTATTTTCGTTTTTATTTGACAAATAGTGTTTAATCATGGACTAATTAGGCTCAAAACGTTCGTCTCTCATCGATGTGATGGGTACTGTAGCGCTTTTTTGAACTTTTTTTGCAACTAAACCAGGCCATAGAGGGTGGCCGGCAAAGACTCAAAGATGAGAGCATGCATGCTTCGTATCGTACGCATAGTTGCATGCACGGATTAAGAGCAAGCGGTGGCCGGCGACCCGTACTACTGCGACTGCAAGGCAAGCAGCACAAGCAACGCAGTCGCAGCGTAGCGCGCGCGCGCGCGCAGAGTCCGCAGACTGAGAGAGCGAGCTTGCGTGGTTGACCGCGTCGCGACTGCCGCCTGGCGCGGGCCACGCCCACGCCCACCATGCAGGGTCACCGAAACGAGCAGGGAGAAGAATCCAGCCAGCCCGTCTGAGCGTCGCGTGATTTCCGCGGGATCCATGCATGCCCTGACCCTGATGCCCATGCCGGCGCACCCGTGCATGCGAACTCGCGCAAGCGCAATGCAACGCAAGGGTCCCGCCGCCTCCCGGCCCGCGACGACACGCACATGTGTACACGCGCGCAGCCGCAGCGGGAAGCGCAGGGACGCTTGGTCGCAGTGCCGGCCTCGGCCGCGGCTACTGCTACTCTGCTAGTGCTAGCTAGCCCTAGTACGGGGCGGGCCCTGCTGCAGCCTGCAGCGCAAGCGCAGCACGCAGCAGCAGGTCTCGCCATGCACTGGGGCCTGGCTTTCTCTCTGGTCAGCTCGCACGCACGTACTGTACGTACAATGCCATGAGGGACTGGGACGGGACCGACCGGACCGGAACGGACTGCGCCACTTGCACTGCTCCGTTGCCTAGCATCGCCTGCGTTCGAATTCGCACTGACTTTGAAGCATTGCATCAAAAGCTACCACCGCTAGCATTGCGTTTTACTTTTGCGTTCGCAGACGCAGCACGTGGTCTCATCAGTCTGTCACTGATAGTAGTATATGGAACCGAGCTCGTGCATGCGACCAATGCAGGATGCAGCAAGCAGTCTCGGTCAGTCGGGCCTGGATATCATGCACTGTCATTACAGCAAGAATTTTGATTAGTTTGGCAAAAACGAATTAGCAAGTACTAATACTACACACTGTAGAACAACCCAGCAAATTGAGGTGGTAGAAGCTACAGCACCTGGCGGTTCTTCTTTTTCGGCCTGTTGATGAGAAGCAGAAGCAGAAGCCCGACTGCATGCTTGAGGATGAGGAAGCATGCAAGGTTGGCTCAGACTGCACGCAGACCGATGAGGAGGAGAAAGGCTTTGGGCAGAGGAAATACACGCGCAGAGAAGAAGTGGAGGAAATGAATGATGAGGCACTCCATTACGCTATGATTGGGGGGCGCCCCAAGGAGAAGCAACGAGCGATCGAGCAGCACCAGCAGGCAGGCATGCCTGGCTGCAACGGCTGCTAGCCTGCCTGCTACCTAGGGGCTGCACCGCAGCAGGGCGCAGACGCAACAGTGTGGCCGGCCCGGCCGGCGACGGAGGGAGAGGACGGGGGTCTCAGGTCTCATCACGTCAAGCGAACGCGACGCGGGCAGAGTGCCGGGCTGTGGGATGGGAGCGGGCGCTGTGGCCTCGATCGCGGCAATTGAAGGCAGGCAGCAGGATGCGGCAGGGCGCGCAGCGTTGCCGCCCAATGTGGATACGACCGATCCCTCCGTCCTCCGCCCTGACGGCGACCAGACGTGCGTGCATGCTGCATCCACCAGCCCGGCATTCAAGGCCCCAACCTCTGTCCTTCTTTTCTGCTCTCATGCACCTGCCATAGCCCATACGGGCTGCTCTCATGCACCTGCCATAGCCCATACGACACTGGACACACACACACACTCTCTCTCTCTCTCTCCTCTCCCCGTCGCTCGTAGCCCCCACACTTGAACTTTTGCAGTAGAGTACTCTTCTGCCTTTTCCATCCAAGGCTACTAAAGCTTGCAAGCGAGATGGGATCATGCATGTAAGTTTTTGGACAATGCAAAGCTTCCACGGAAGAAACACAGAAGGTAATAAAACATACATAAGCAACGCGTGACGTGAGGCTGAGCAACTGACTAACCATCATCCTCTCTGTTTGGAAACTGATCGCCGCCCATTTCCGGCACTGATGTACGGACGCCCGTGCTCGCATGCACGAGAGGAACAAGCAAGCTAGCCAACGGGCCATGGATGCATGGATGTGACGTGACCTTCCTTCGCGTCGTGCTCGCCTCTCCTCTTTTTCTCGCGCGCCACGGTGACATAACGCGTTGCTCCGTCCCTTGGCTCATGGCCCTCGTTCGGCTTACCTTATAATCTATATTATTCAGTTTGTTTTTTTAGTCGGAACAGTGTTTTTCTCTCACAACAATTCAGCTAGAACAATGTTTTTCAGCCAATTCAGCCAAGTTTCAGCAAGCCAGGAGTGGTTCTGCAAATATTATTCTTTCCTTCTTTTGCTTTTTTTTTTGAGGGATTCTTTTCTTCTTTTGCTGGTTCCGTTGTGACTCGTCACAAAGTCACACTCGCAAGGTCACAGGAACCACAGGCCTCGCTCGGGTTATCAATGGCCCGTTACCGTGTACCGACTGATAACGTGGTGGAGAAGATCCAGGCCCAGTATGAGACTCGATGGCCCGACGTGCTCTCCTGGACCAACCCATGGGCCTATTGATAGGCCCAAACATGGGCTGCCCTGGAGGGTGCGGACGGGCGTGCGGTTCCTTTTCCTTTTCTGATGACTTCGCGAATCGGGAATGCGCCTTTCCATTCCACTCTCCTCGAAAGGCGGCGCTGCCGAGGCCCGCCCGAGGAAGGAAGAGAAGCCGCAGGCTCCGCGAGGGCGAGAGAGGTCGGCGCGATTCGGGGATGGGCAAGGGCGGCGAGCTGTGGGACGACTCGGCGCTGGTCGACGCCTTCGACCGCGCCATGTCCACCTTCAAGGTATGCTTGCTTGACTTCCCGGACCGCTGCGTCTCGCCGCCGCAGCTGCTAGGGTTTAGGGTTTTGGGTTTTGGGGGGCTTTGACAGGCGGCTGTCGGTTGCATCGGTGGGTAGGTGCGGTGGGCGCTGGGGGTTTTGGATTCGGGGATGGAGAGCTGAGATTTTACCTTATCGGCATCGTGATTGGAAATTTCAAATTTATGTACATTCGACTCCACTTTTTGCAAAATGTTTGTTTGTATCGGGCTAATTGTTGATGATTGGCAGGAAATGCATTGCAAGAGCAAGCGAGCGACGCCTAGTGAGGATGGGAAGACCGAACATGCTGCTGCTACTGCTACTACTGCAGGAGAAGAGAGGCCCATTACTGATGAAGCAGCGGATGAGTAAGTATACTGATATTTTTAGCTTGATTCAGTGGTGAACTAGTTTGTTAGCTTGTGCCTATGGTATCCAAAGCAAATGTAGTGTTTTACATGATTAGAATCGCATGATTGTTGGGATCGGTACAAAAAGGGTAGCCTGTTGAGAAATAGCTTTTTGCTGTTCCCATATTCGTTTCACAGACTGTTCTGTTTGGAATCGGAACTCACATTTTAATTGATGGAGACAACTAAAGCTTTGGAATGACAATGTCATGCGATCATCAATTACTTATGCAATTTGTAGAAACTCAAGCATTACAGATTATTCTTTAAGGACATCTGCTATTTTGTTTACCCGATATCCCCAATGATTTGGCCATGCTCATTTGTCCTTTATGTATCCAATTTTAAATTATTGTGCTATTGTCTTGGCGCTACATTCTTGGAAGACATGATCAAGTTTAATTTCATTTCATTTTTACATTTTAAAGGTGCAGAGAGGAAGATGGCAACTGTGACAGCAAACCCTGTGGTCAGTCAGAGACACAACAGCAGCCCTCTGAAGAAAGACAGACAGTGGAGCAAGCTCCTCTTCAAGAAACTGATCCAGGCAAAGAGACACATGTTTCAGAGGCTAAGACGCTCTCCACAGATGCTACTACTGATGCTGATGGAAATTTGGAGTACAATGAATTGCTGAGACAATACTATGAACTTGAGGAGAAGAGTCGGAACATTCTTGAGCAACTCCAACAAGCAAACTATTGGAATTATCAAGCACCAGGATATGCTTCTACAGCCCAACAGCAGCAAGTTCCTGTCTATAGTGCCACAGCACCAGATCCTCACTCTTCCACAACTCAATCCTCATGCTGCAATTGGAACGTTCCCCTGGTATCTGTCTCCTGCTGTTCAGCTGGCCAACCAAGTGGAGGTTCTGCTTGTATGCCACCTACTGCTGGCTGCAGCGTATCATTGGCTTGTAGGTGCCTAGTTTGTGCCTTCTTAATCTGTTCATATGTATTGTGCCTATTCCATTGCATGTAAATAGACTACATAATACAATCCTTTTCAGGTGATCAATGCCCAGGTGCAAGCACTGCATACCCTAGTGTTTCAAACTTCATGCAGGCCCCAACAAAGGTATCTACCAATGATGATCAAATTGCTAAGGCTGCAATGATGACTGCTGAAGGTGCCTTTAATTTTATGAGAAGTACGATGTCTGGACTGCCTGGCACCCAAAGTAAGTAACTTCTTGTTTGAAGTAGTGGCGTTCTTCTGCAAACGTCTTAAAATATGTTTGCAAAGCTAGTTCTATGAACATACTCCACATTTCACATAAGAAGAAAAAGCCAAAAACTCACATCCCTTGTAATACCAATTCGGTGAACTTGCGTCAGGTAATCACATATATACTTCGTCTCACTACTCACCTTTTGTCCTCAATATAGGAAACGAATCTGATACTGGAAAGGAGGAAAGCACGAACATGGGCATGAACCCGAATCTTGATAGTGATCTTGCTGCTCTCGTAAATTCATGGTATGCTGCTGGGTTCTACACTTGCAGGTAATCCTTATCCCTTGAATGTTGGGTTTTCAGATTGCAGTGATGCCTTGTTCTTATGGGTCTCTGCATTAATTTATTTATTTCTTTGCTAACAATCATTCACACGTCTCAGCACCTGTAGTTGTCCCCACATTTTGGGTTGGTATGCATTCACTTGTCTCCATTATCGTATAAGGCAGCTCTTATTTTATTCCATAAATAAAAGAGAGGACTTATTTACACTTATTAATTGAATTGACTGATTTGCCTAAATTGGTTTGGAACGTTAGAGCTCCAAAACCATGAAGTTCCCAACTCGTAAAGTCCAGGTTTAGAAAACTGCATTGCACCTGTAATTCTATCATTTAATATTCAGTATATGACACTTATTCTTAATGCCCGTATATGACACAATATGTTAGCATCATGAATCTGAAATGTCTGTTTACAGGTACCTCATGCAGCAATCTACGAAAAATTCCAGACCGTAGTGTAGTAGGCTATGGCTGTCTTGAGATAGATGTCTGAGAACAAGCAAGTTGAAGCATCACTGCGTGCCCGTGCGCCTTCAAGTATGAATATTCTGCTGGAGTTGTTTCTATACTGTGTCTTGCTTGTAACTGCTATTTCAAGCTAGACTTTCGATACGCTCGTATGTGAATCTGTTGATGTCAGGCGGAAAATTGGGTAAAAGAGTAAACTATTGCATTAACCTAATCGTCATGTATATAGCGCTGCCATCTGTAACCTATTTTGGCAGGCTGTTTTAGGCAGGATGTCATTTGTGCTAGCACGAGTAGCTTCCCTTATCCGCGTGCCGTCTGGCAGCTTCCATCCCCAGTTGTTGATTGCAGGATTAAAGCAGTGCGACTATAAAGTTTGGTGCTTGTGGGTTGTCCGTGGCGCCATGTGTGAATTCTTTTAAGCCGGAGCTGTTGTGATATTGCCTGCCGACCGGCCTGTCTGCCCCCGCGCGTCGTGGTGTTTGGCGGTGTACTGGTGTGGTGGTCGGTACACGGCACCTTTTCTGAGGTCGTGGCATCTCCCATGGGAATAATGCTCTGCTTCCTCCGCCCCTAATTGTTTGTCATTATGATTTCTGGGTCGATAATTTTAAGTCGATTTATAAAAAATACATGCAATATTTCTATCTTTAAATAAATTTATTAAAAAACTAGATTTAAATATTTATTAATGATATTAATTATGTATCATAAATATTAATATTTTTTAATATATATTTAGTCAAAATTATTTCTCGGAAAACAAAAACAACGGACATCTAGAGACGAACCTTGCTTATGTTTCTCCGAGCTGCCAACGGGCCTCCGGTAAACGGCTAAATATTGTATCAGCCATTGAAAGAGCAGTATTTGGCGAAGCATTCAGCTTGAACTCATAAGTTCATCACCTATGAAAAGTATCTTCTTATCTCCGCTTGAGCAAGTTCAACAAGGAATTTGAGTGTCCTACTCATTTTTTATGATTAAAAATTACACACATATCATAAAAAAATAACTGCTCGATCGGGGAAAATAATATATTCAGAAATAGCGTATTATACAGATTGATTGAAAAGGACGGGGAGGAACGGGGTTTATGGTTGGGTACCGTGTTCCCTCCCAAAATGTCAAATTTTTAAGATTCCCCATCATATCGAATCTTTGGACACATACGTAAAGCATTAAATATAAATAAAATAAAAAAATTAATTACACAGTTTAGACGAAATTCACGAGACAAATCTTTTAAGCCTAATTAGACTATGATTAAACACTAATTATCAAATAACAACGAAAGTACTACCGTATCATTTCGCCAAAAATTTCGTCTAACTAAATAAGGCCTTGGTCTAAAGCAATAACCGGAGTGGCAGAAAAGAGACCGCAACTGCAAGGCACCGAAGGAGAACTCACCAGGAAGCAACGACGCGGAAAGAGAAATCCACGGGTCAGAGAAGCCGCTCTTGTTGGATTATTCCGTTCGTCAGTTCCGTCGCGGAGGTACGCCTAGTCGCCTACGCCCCTCAACCCCTGCTCCTAATCCGCTTCTCCTGCTTCCCTCCCCAAAATTCCCCGTGTCCAGTATCCTGGTCTTCCCCTGCCGCTTCCCTTAATTTTCCTCTCATAACCCGTTTCATCTCCTGCTGTCTCTTCCGCCGCCGCTGAACGGTAGGGCTCCTTCCACCGGCGTCTCCCTTACCGTCGTCCTCTACTGGTGCTGGACTGCCTTGGGGTGGAGATTGGCTTGGATCAACTCTTATTTCAGGTTCTGTTGTTGTTGGTGAGTAAACCCTAGCCTGCTTGGACGGGATCTTCTAGGAGTTCGTTTTGCTTTGCGGATTTGCTAATCGAAACCATATACACGGTCTAAGTAGTGTTTTCGTCCTTAGCGCGCAACATTAGTCTACCCAAAGTGCAACTTAGTTTGCAGAATTCGGGGTTTTCAACGCCCGCGTGAAGATTGCCATGAAATCTTGACTAATCGTCACGTCAATGTGTTATCTAACTGCGACATGCCCATTTTCTCGACTAATTCGGGGTTTCTGCAGCGAAAATGAGTGACAACCTGATGGACAAGGTTAGCGCCTTTGGTGAGCGCCTGAAGATCACCGGGACAGAAGTCAGCAAGAAGATGACTGCCGGAATGAGCTCCATGAGCTTCAAGATGAAGGAGTTGTTCCAGGGGCAGACTCCGGCTGACAAGATTGTTGAGGACGCCACCTCGGAGAATCTGGACGGGCCTGATTGGAACTCAAACTTGGAGATTTGCGACTTGATCAACACAGAGAAGGTTAACAGTGTGGAACTTATATGTGGGATCAAGAAGAGGATCATGCTGAAGGATGCGAGGGTCCAGTATCTCTCCTTGGTCCTGCTTGAGACTATTGTGAAGAACTGCGAGAAGGCCTTCTCAGAGGTTGCGGCCGAGCGTGTTCTTGATGAGATGGTCAGGTTGATTGATGACCCTCAGACTGTGGTGAATAACAGGAACAAGGCCCTTATGCTGATTGAAGCATGGGGGAAGTCTGGTGATGAACTCCGCTATCTACCAGTCTATGAGGAAACATACAAGGTTTGCAAACATAAGCCTTAATTCTGTTTACCATTGCTTCAACCAAAACAACTGCACAACTTGTGTCTTGTTCCAGTTAACTCATACTTCCATACTGCAGTTGTTTATTTTGTTCTACTAGTTCATGACTTCATGCCAAAAGATAAAAGTACAATAATCTGTGTTGTTCCATGATGCAATCATAGGGAAAAATCTGATTTAGGAGCGACGTGCTGAAGTAAGGCTGCTTTAGTGCAATCACTGAGCTATTTATGTTTCACATAGTTTTATGCTTTTGTACTTAATAGTTTACTTACATTTTTATGGTTATATTTCTGTGCAACCAGCCGAGCTCACCAAGTACTTATAATGAGCGCCTTAGGCAGCACTTGTATCATTCCTATAGCTCTGGATTTATTACTCATAATAATTTACTGGTTGTTTTGATATGACATTTGATGGAAATACATTATATCTTGTTGATTATTTTAGACATCCACACAATGTCTAATTAATGTCTTTGCACATTACTTCTTCTGATTAATGGGAGTGCTTGTGATATCATACCTTATTGTAAAATATAATGGGGTAGTGCTGCAGAAGATCAATATGATTTATCCTTGCACAGAATGTTTTTGTACTTTAGTAACCAAGGTCTATAAGTTACACTGTATAACATGATCATTTCCATGTATAGAGCTTGAAATCAAGAGGAGTACGGTTTCCTGGACGTGATAATGAGAGCTTGGCTCCCATATTTACTCCACCACGATCAGTTGCCGAAGCTGATGTTGACGCAAGCTTGCCCCAGCAGGCATTCGAAGACGTCCATGTTCATACATATACTGCTGAAGAAACAAAAGAAGCATTTGATGTAGCTCGTAACAGCGTAGAACTTCTTTCAACTGTTCTTTCATCTTCCCCTGAACAGGATGCTTTGCAGGTACTGTGTCCCAATTTCATTTAACTTTTCTCTTAGTCTGTCAAGTTCTCAACCATCATGATGTGATTAGCTATTTTCACACATGAGATTTCCTTTATGGATCTTTTGCAGTAAAAGATACTGCTCATTGTGTCATGTTGCTGATGAAACATACTTAGGGCAGGTGGATGTATTTTGCTTATCATGCCACATTTATGGCGATAAAGTGATAGACTACTTCATTGCATGTAGTGAAAACATTTTTCTGTTCATGTTGATTGTTAACTTAACATAGTGTGTGCTCTATTGTTTAGGAATAAGAATGATTGAAAAAAGTACTCCATGTTTTGTTGAGCATAGTTGGCTAACTGCTTTCCCTGTTAACAATCACATCCGCTGCATCCTGAAGTTATAGCTACTGCAAATTTTTGTTGGATTAGGGTATATATTTCAATTATTTACACCTTTTCTGTTGTTTGCATCCTGAAGTAGTAGGTTTTTGCACTGTTCTTTAACATAGCCAACTGTTTTTTCGCTAAATGAAAACTTTAATAGGCATGTTGTTTGTTGAACTAGCAGAAATCAAACTATCTCAAGATTCTTGTTTGACTACTTTTGTTATCACCACAGGATGACTTGACAGCCACTCTTGTGCAACAATGCTACCAATCTCAGCACACTATCCAGAGGATTATTGAGACCGTTGGAGACAACGAAGCTGTGCTCTTTGAGGCCTTGAGCGTGAACGATGAGATCCAGAAAGTGTTATCGAAGTACGAGGAGATGAAGCAGCCCAGGGCCTCGGAGCATGCAGAGCAGAGACCAGTTGTCATACCGATTGCCACAGAACATGAAGATTCGACTGCTATCGGCAATGAAGACGCCCTTGTCAGAAAACCAGCTGCTGCGAGAGCAAGGTCAGGTGGAGATGATGATATCCTTGATGATCTCGATGAGATGATATTTGGCAAGAAGGGAGGTAGCAGCTCCTCCCAGGAAGGGCCGAAAAAGCCAGATCCGAAGAAGGATGACCTGATCAGCTTTTAAGTACCTCTCCATAATCGCAGCCAGTACTTGCTATTTTCTGGTGCTGTACCCACTCGGTAGATTGAAGATTCCTTAGGATTTGGATCGATTGTTTATTCGCATACGATTCATACTTGCCCCTTCGGTTTGTTCAGTTAAGTTGCTATACTTTCTCAATCTTGTTTCATGGATGAGTCCCAGTGACCATGAATGTATTGGATGGTGGATTATGCCTCGACGGGGGGAAAATGTCCAGTGTCGCTGAATCTCTGTTCTTTGCTACAGTAACCATTTCTTAAGCTCATATCTTATGCTTTGGGTAACCGTTTCTTAAGCTCATATCTTATGCTTTGGCTAATCGAGCAGGTCTCTTATAATGCCGCATATCACTGGTCTCAATATGCCAGCGCTGTGAAGTGTGAGATATTATGAGGTCAAAATCAGCAAGTCTTGTTGAAATAAAATCATCACACAAATAAATGGGTGGTC